CCCCAAAAACCCCTAAGTAATGAGTTTCAAGCGAATCTAGATCATTTAAAAAATTTTGTTCGCCATATTGGATCCGCCATTTATAAATTTCTTAAATCTAATGTCAAATTCAGATTCTGCGATCCAAAATACTATAGAGTACTTATGGAAATTGAAATGAAATTTGATTTAGTACGTTTTTCTAAGGTGCTTGTATACAGAGTTTATGATCGAAATACTAAAAGTTAATTTTTTTAAAAACGGCCTGATGGATTATTTTAATTTTTGTTAGAAAATACTCAGGCAGATCTTTAGTGTTGGAATCCACAGATAAATCCCATTTCGCAAGACTTTTTTTTAAAAGTTGTTCAAGCCCACCGTGTACAACTTTTAGGACCATTTAGACCGTGAAAAATCTGTTCTAATCAACAGAAAACAAAACCCTTCGTTCAATCACGAGCCATACTCACCCACTAACAGAAAATATTTTGGTTGTTGATTTTGAATGAAGCAGTCCAAAAATATCGTGACCACCGCAAAATCAATTTTTTCGGAAGGGGCCTCAAAGGAACTGTTGCTACGGCCCTGTTTTTGAATATTTTTTTTCAAAAATTTGACGAATTATTTATATTATAGTGTATTTTAAGAAACCAAAGTGTTCAAAGAAAAAAATGATTTATTATATGAAAATTTTTTTTTTTCAAAACATACATTTTCTTACAGTTTTGACCCATGTAACCCCTTAAATTTAAAAAACAGCATTTTACTTATGTAAATTGAGTATAAGGAATAATTTATATGATAATAAACTGATTGTTATTATTCATTTCAAAAACATTTTCTCATCATATTATTAAAACATTATTTAATTTTACAACTAAAATTAGAATTTTTATAAATCTAACGTTAGATTTTTAATAAGCGACCCATAAAACCCCCGAGTAACGATTTTCGGACGAATTCGATAAATTTTATCAAAATTTTCCGCCATATTGGATCAGCCATTTTGAATTTTAAAAAATTGATGTCATATTCGTAATCAGCGACCCTAAAAACCCCCGAGTACCGATTTTCAGACAACTTCGATAAATTTTATCAAAAATTTTCGCCATATTGGATCAACCATTTTGAATTTTCATAATCTGACGTCAGATTTGTAATCAGCGACCCCGAAAACCCCCGAGTAACGACTTTCAAGCGCATTAATTCAGAATTGGAATTTTGGCCAGCTTTTTATCTATTTGGAACCACTGTGCACTTATAGAATGAAAATCAGTAAATCTTCTTTTAATCACAATTAAATTACGTAACTGCTGCAGAATAATTTGCAATTCCTGACCATCTAGGACGTAAGGTCTGATAACAAATTGCAAACCATTTTGCAGTGCTCGGAATACAAATCCATTTTCATCGATGTGTTGATCGCAAATTCTGACGTCATCAGGTACAAAAATATTAACATTTACAAAAATGTTAACACGGCTTACAATTTAAAGTCTGCGAAGATTAATATCGGAATTATAAAACACATAAGTACGATAGTGAGTCAGAGTCAAAACATTAAGTTTAGTGCATCGAGGATCTCGTTGAATTTCTTCTATTTCTAAGTGAATAGACTGATTGCAATTAATGCACAGTCTAGTGAGATCCGTTACAGCTTCAGGTGGTCTGTTGCGTGCATCACGCCTGCGCATTGCAGTATCTCGTTTAGCCTCATTGTTTTTACTATCAATTCGAGCCATTTGATTTGCTCTAAACGAACTATTACAAACATAACATAGAATCCGGTTTTAGAACGCCATTTCTTAATTTATTACTTAAAAACAGATAAATTGATCGTCATATGTAAAGGCAAATAATTTTACACTGCCTCTGATGCAGAAAAAAAGGGAGCAGACATCAAAGTGAAAGAAATATTACCTCATAGGTAAGTTTGTTATTATTTCAAAAGTACAAATTATTGTACTGTTTACTAGGTTGAACAATAAGAGCGGTAAGTATTGAAGTATAAGAAGTGTTAATTGACAAGTAAACTTAAATGTGCATGAAAAAGAAAATGATTTCCTTTTTTTTAGGTTCAGCAACAAGGGTGGCGTCTTTTTGACGTATGGAAAGTCAAAAATGACGGGTGAGCTTGTTTGTGAATTAAATAGAAAGTAGTTTTCTTTTTTTCAGGTTCAGCGACAAGGGTGGCTTCTTTTAACGTATGGAAAGTTAAAACTAACAGGTGAGCTTCTTTGTTAATTAAAGGGAAAATAGTTTACTTTTTTCAGGTTCAGCGACAAGGGTGACGTCTTTTGACGTATGGAAAGTGTAAAATGACAGGTAAGCTTGTTTGTGAATTAAATAGAAAGTAGTTTTCTTTTTTTCAGGTTCAGCGACAAGGGTGGCTTCTTTTGACGTATGGAAATTGAAAACTGTCAGGTGAGCTTGTTTGTTAATTAAACGGAAAATATTTTCCTTTTTTCAAGTTCAGCGACAAGGATGGCATCTTTTGACGTATGGAAAGTGGAATCTGACAGGTAAGCTTAAATATGAATTTTAAATAAAATATTTTTTTTCAGGTTCAACGACAAGTGTGATTATTAGTGACGTGTAAGAAATGTAAACTGCCAGGTAAGCTCGTTCGTGAATTAATTAAAAATTATTTTCTTTTTTTTCATTCTCAGCGACAACGGCGGAGAACTTTGAAATAAAAGAAAGGTTTATTTTATAGGTAATGGACCATTCATTAACTACATTACCTGTTTTAGAGGTTTGGGAGTTAAATAGACAAATAATTTTCTTCTCTTCCAGATACAACTTGAAGGGAAACTCGTATCAAATATATTGACAGCTAACATACAGATAAATTCTTTGAAGTTTTTAAAAACCTAACAATTGAACCGTCGGCTATTAAAAGGGCTTAGGTGAGGTTTTCATTTACCCCTGCACTGAGAGAACTTTTGCGGGGCCAACAAAAGTCGCGCGTAAGCCCTTTTGGTCGCCAGCAGTTCATTTTATTATTATTTTGTTGCAGTAAAAACGTCCACGTGCATCGAAGGGAAGAAAATGGTACTGCACAGTGTTTGTAATTCAAAATGATCTAATAATTTTACATTGTCTTAGATGCAGTAGCAACGGTGTCGTAAAGACACACTTGCACAGGCGCAGTTGTGCAATTGAATATTTATATTAATTAATTATATTATAATATTATATTATATATGACATTTGCTCATGCTTCCAGTGAGAGAAATATAAAATTGGATTTCTGTGCATGTGGAAACATTATGCTAGTCTATTACTCATGCGTAATTATTGAATTGCACCAAAAATTGCACTTAGGTTGTGATTATATTGTTTGCACAGCATCACATACGATATACGTCATCAATATAATAAGCATTTAATACAATGTAATGTAGTATAATATTATACAATTTCATTCTATTTTATTGTATTCTATAGTGTTAAATTATTTATTAAGAATGTTCAGAAAGTTTACCCACAACGCAAAATGAATCTAAAATATAATACTTTCTCAGTGGCGAGAATTTAAATTCCTATTTAGTTGAGTTTCATACTAGAAGACATCAAAAGAAATATCTTAATGATTATTTAATGCATAAGGAAATCTTATAAACAACACACCTTAAACCATACTTATGTTGAGTCGTTTTAATGTTTGTAACAAACCTGTAAGGTGAGTCTACAATGAGGATGTAATCGGTACATGTTTTATGGATCTATTCTGAACAGGCTCTTAAATAAGTGACATCAGCACGTTAACGTTTGAACGTACCGTTCACGTCCTCATTCTGGATTCAGCTTACGAAACAGCATGACACGTTATAGAAACATTTTATATTGAATCAAGAAGGATAAAAAAAGCCTCGTTATACTGTTGCAAAATACCTGATAAAAGATAAAAAATATTATACCCAGCTGCGAACTATTGTACAAACCGAAACCGAATTTTTAATCACAGAAGCTTAAACAGTCGTCAAGTAACCAGTTTTAGGTAAATAAAAATTATTTTTAAAAATTCTTCCACCATATTAGATCCACCATTTTGAATTTTAAAAAACTGTCGTCGAATTCGTAAACAACGACCCCGAAAACCCCCGAGTAACGAGGTTAAAGTGAATTCACTGCATTTTAAAAAATTCGTCGGCCATATTGGATCCGCCACTTTGAATTTTCAAAAACTGTTGTCGAATTCGTAATCAGCGACCCCGAATACCCCCGAGTAACGAGATTCAAGTGAATTCATTGCATTTTAAAAAATTTATCGGCCATATTGGATCCGTCATTTTGAATTTTTAAAAACTATAGTCGAATTCGTAATCAGCGTCCCTGAAAACCCCAGACTGACGAGTTTTAAAAAAGTTTATTTAGTTCTTTTGGTTTTACTCGTTTATGAATTTTTTTCATTTTTAAAATTATTTTTTGAACTTAATCCTCAATTATTAAAAAATCTTTCAATTTTTTGGAATTTTGACATTTACATTTTTTATTCAGGAGGTCAAAAACTACAAAATTACAAAGTTGCAGAAAATTTCACCGGACTCCAAATTCCCATGTAAATGGTGCGGGGTTCTTTGGAAAACTTTACTTTAGAATAAATATAACATGTTCAAACAAATAAACAAGGACCGTTGCCAGGCAACAAGGAAAAGACTTGTGAATAACATTTGAATTTTGTAAAAAATATAATTCGTGAAAAAAGTCATTCGGGATTTTATTTTCGTAAAAAAAGTCTTTGGGAAATGGTATTCGGGAATTTTGACTTTCGTGAAATTTACCCTTCGTGAAAATGTTTTTCGGGGAAATGACCCGGAATCCTTTTTTACGTTAAAATAGTGTTACAATCAGCTGATCATAACTTTTGAATTATATTCCTTCTTAATAAAAATAACAATTGTTAATATTTTATAAGACAAGTACAGGGCACTATATTAATTTAAATGTTTTAGTTAAAAATTAATCTTTTTGATTCTTAACAAAAAGATTTAAAGTAAAATAAAAAAAATTAAAAATATTTTTTAAAATAATTTATTTATAAATTAACGTTTATTTTTTATATTTAAATAGGTGTGCAATCAGATTTTGTACAAAATATTGTGACACAAAAAAATGTAAAATGAAAAACGCAATTGACCATCTCATCAAGATTTACCCAAGAACAAAATTTATGACCTAGTATGCTTTTATATCGATTACAACACAGGTTTACAAATTTCAAATTTTTTTTGTCACTCGAATAAAACATTTTTTTTTATTAATATGTGTCTTTCGAGTAAGAAAATCATATTTAAAATTTTTTTCCCTCGTGCAATTTTTTTGTAACAGCAAATTATGCATTTTCGAGGTGTGACGTCACTTAAAGTCACCGGTAGAGAAAGCAGTTAATCCAATTGTAAAAAATAAATCACCATTTAAAAGATTATTAAATTACCTTTCAAACCCCCAAGTACTCATTTTGGTGAGCTTTGCTTAACTTAGTTTTATACAAAACTGATATAGATCGAAATCACTTAAAAATATACTAAAACTGAAAAAGTACTTTGTTCAATAAATGTAGTGTAGAATTGTCATTTTTCATCCGATCGCGGTCTATAAAGGCTTAAAAGTTTCGTAATTAAATATATTATTAATAACAAATTTAAAACTTGCCTTTTTTGATTGTTTGACTTTGAAGAAATTAGCGAAAGTTGACGAAGGTCTAAAAATCATTAAAATTTGATTCAAATTTGAACTTTGATCGACTGTAACTCTGACAATTTTGAATGTATTTTTTTGTTTGACCAATGGTTTGAAAGGTAATTTAATAATCTTTTAAATGGAGATTTATTTTTTACAATTGGATTAACTGCTTTCTCTACCGGTGACTTTAAGTGACGTCACACCTCGAAAATGCATAATTTGCTGTTACAAAAAAATTGCACGAGGAAAAAAAATTTTAAATATGATTTTCTTACTCGACAGACACATATTAATAAAAAAAAAATGTTTTGTTCGAGTGACAATTTCACTGTAAACCTGTGCAATTTAGACACTAACTACTTTTAAGTTCTTTTTCATTTGATTCCTTATTATTGGACTCCGATTCCTGGGCACATATATCTTTGACATCTACTGGGTGTAATAAAATTGGTTGCATTGGTCCCCCATCGCTTGTTACTTCTAATCCAATTGTGGCTCCAAGTTTTTGAGAAGCATGTTTAAACTGATCTGATAACATTACCTAAAAACAGTAAAATGTTGTTATTTCATATTTGCTTATAACTTGTGACAAATAATATAAATATTATATAAAGTTGAAAACAGTTCCCGAGTTCTGTTAAAAATGTTAAAGGTGTTTTTTTATTCTTCAGTTTCCAGATAGCGCTACAATAAGGTAAAACATGGTTAAGTTAATTTAAATAATTATATTTCACTTGCTTGTTTGAACATATAACTTGTAGTACCGTAATTTATTACCAAGTGATGCCACAGGTTTGGAGATATATCAACCAAAATTCCACTCCTTTCTGTCTATCTTTTAGCTCTCTGCTTTCGCGATGTTTATTCTTTGCTTGGCGCAAACAGACCCTACACGTTATCATGATCTCTCCACAAGAACAAAGACAACTTTACCAAGACGAATTGGGAAGATTAAAATTTTAAAAATATCATGAAGCTCTTTTTTTTAAGGGTACAAAACGGTAAAAAAAATTTGAGCCAAATCGAAGAAGTCAAAATCAACGATATATTAGTTTGGCATGGAACCTTTCATATACACGGAAAGACTTTGTGCATCACTTTGTGTTAAACTCGCCACGAGATTTTAGTAAACTTTTTACCAAACTCGGAAAAAAAGGAAAGATATTAATAATTCGTAGTCTGACTATTAAAATCAGAAAAAAGTTACTGATGTACAATAATTGATTATTGAGAATTTTAAAATTTAATAGTCAGTCGATCAAAAAATAAAATCTGAAGTTTCACTAAAAAAACATATACATAGCTTTTAATAGCGTGACTACTAAAGTTGCCATCTGAAACTCCATATATACGTATATATATCGACAATTGATAAGTAATGTAGAAATCCAATTTACCTATGAACGAGAGATCACATCTTAACCTAAAATCGTCTAAAATACAGATAGGGTAAACGCTCGCTTTAACCGACGCAACGCAAATACAATTCATATCAACGATATCATGAGGGCAGTTTATTTTTCTTATATACTAATCTCACCATTTCATTTCCACTTACGAGAAAATTTTTATTATGTTTAAACTTATTTCAAGTGCAATGAAAAAATTTCAAAAAAATAAATTATTTAATATTATTAATAAGGTCAATTTTAGGAAATGTCCGAATTAATTTTTTATGCAAACAGGATTATTAAAAGTGTTCGTTGTGTAGACATTTTTCTATCTATGCCGGAACTATTCAACTGCTGACGCTATACACGGACAAGCTTCGCTTGTTTGTATGCGTGCTGTTTTCATCGTGAGACTACTAAATTGTAAACACGACGCAATGAAAATGTCGTTCTTACAAATATAAAGAATATACTTAACGAATATTTCTTAGCGTGACTACTAAATTTTGATAAAAAAGAAAACATTTTTTGTTGAAAACATTTATATAAAATGATAGTTTTCCATTTTTTCCAAGTTTGGTCGCGAGTTTACTAAAATCTCTTGGCAAGTTTGACAGAAAGTGATGCACAAAGTCTTTCCGTGTACAATGCAGTGATGCTTGAAACACCATAGAACAAACTATACAATAGAGTATACGGTTTTTGCCCTACTGAAAATTCTCATGGAGGATCTTATATAGGATCTCACATAAATTCATATATCCCTACTGAAAATCCCTGTATAAGATCTTGTACAATTTCCTGTACAGGATCAGCAACTGAACTTGTACTAGTTCTGACCAGTTCCTGTACAGGAAAATGCATACGAATTTGGAACAAGTTCATGTGTGAGATCTTGTACAAGATCTGGTGCAAGATCTTGTACAAGAAAGATACTTGTACAAGAAAATGTACATGATCTTGTAAAATTTCATGTATAAGTACTTGTACATGAACACGTTCATGTTCTTGCACATGTATAGTTGTAAAATTTTTTTTTTTAATAAAATTTGAGATTTTGATAATTTTTAACCACTAAGATTCGTAACTCATGCATGCTAAAAACTATTGCGCAGCTGTAAAGGTTAAAGTAAACTATTGCGCAGCCTTTGAAGTTTTTAATTTTTAGTAAAGAAAAACATGAATTAACTTGTGCAAGAACATGGATGTGTTCATGTACAAGTACTTATACATGAAATTGTACATGAACATTTTCTTGTACAAGCATCTTTCTTGTACAAGATCTTGCACCAGATCTTGTACAAGATCTCACACATGAACTTGTTCCAAATTCGTATGCATTTTCCTGTACAGGAACTGGTCAGAACTTGTACAAGTTCAGTTGCTGATCCTGTACAGGAAATTGTACAAGATCTTGTACAGGAAATTGTACAAGATCTTGTACAGGGATTTTCAGTAGGGATTAAAATACACATAACATCCTATGTGTTATGTAAGAAACTATATAGGATCTTATGAAAAATCATATAGAAAATTGAGACATGATTTCAAGTGGGATTCGATGTAAATTCTTATAAATGTATTCTTAGGTAATAAATTATGTGAAATCCTACAATTTTTTCTCGTCAGATTTTTTCCTTCAATTTTCTTCGTGGCTTCTCATAAAAAACCTATCAAAATTCATTGCTCAATCCTTAACCAGAAATTTTCCTATATCAAATCATACATAAAAACTTTTTTTGATTCTTGAATAAAAAATTATTACAAAAAATCTGACATGAAATCTTATTTCTATTGAAAATTCTCATTTATATATGATTGACTTGAACATAAGAATTCATGTAGGATTTCATGTAGATTCTGAAATATCTGTCTAAGATTTCACATGGAATTATATAAAGGAAACAATATAGGATTTCATATGGAAAATTCGAATTGACAGAAGGCAGTTTATAAAAATTATTTAATTTAAAATCAAATAATTTTACTGCAATTCATCTGAAAAGAAAAAAATTTGTGCTTTGCAATAGACCTTCTCAGTTAAAGTCTCAGCTTTTACAGTACTTAAGACTTATCTCAACTGTGAGAAAAAAAATTATGACCATCTGGCGGCGTAAGAATGGAACTTGGTATCTTATCTGAACTACATAAGATTTTACATGGATTTTTATATATATTTCTTTATGGTGAATTCTTACATGGGATCCTACCCAGCAAACACGTTCTATAAATGTTATATAACAGTGAGAACACAGTTTTAAAGAACACTTGTTACAAGCTGGTTATGAATCTGTTATATAACCTCATTGTAACAGAATTCTAGAACATTGTTACAAGGGAGTTACCGATTTATTCTATATTATGCTAACTTCACATTCCTGTAACAATGTAATGTAACATTTCTGTAACACAATCATCACAAATGATCTGTAACTGACGTTCCAACGTAGTTCTAGAACTGTGTCTGAAAAATGTTATGTAGCTGTTCTAAAATTTTGTTGCAGATTAGTTCTGGATGACATTTGTACCTAAAAATGGGAACATTTCTGCAACAGTATGTTACATAAAATTTTTATAACACTACAGCCACAAATTTTTTATAACTAATGTTCCATCGCATATCTAGAACTATATCGGAACAATAATATGTAACTGTTCTAAAATTTTGATGAAGTTCAGTTCTGGAATATATTTGTACCTGAGATTAAGAATTTTGAAGTGTTCATAAGTACCTTAACTATTTTCTATGGAATTAATAAATAAATAGTTCATTTTACTTAAGTATATAGTTAAATTTAAAAAACTCTAAAATTTTTATATATCACATAGTCTTATTGTTTTTTTTATATAAGCAATACAGTTTTTAAATCCTCCTCAGTCGCAAGTTATCAAATGAATTTTGTATTTATATTCCCATGTTAGGGTAGCCTAATGGTTAGCGTATTAGCCTGTGGAGCGATATTGCTATAGAACAGTTAAAATTTGTCACTGTTCTAACTATGTTTATTTTAGACTTTCCTTTTTCTATTACATCAAGTTTTAATATTTTTATTAAGAATAAAAATATTTTGCATGTATTTTTAGGTAATAATCATGCGATAATAGTTATGTACCATTTTATAGTTGTTACAAAACAGTTCTAGAACTGTTACAAATACATTTGTAACCATATTCTAGATGTGTTACAGAATCTTACATATCCGCTGGGTACGACATTTTGCGTAACCAGTGACTCACAGGATCATAACCAGTTACAGAACATGTTTTCAAAAAATTTGTAACAGTTCTATAGCTGACCTGTAACAGTGTTTGCTGGGTATATAGGAATCCATATGAGAACATAATGTAGTATCCCAATCAGCAGGAAAACTTGCAGCAAACTGGCAAGAAGCTTGCCGTGCAAACATGTAGCAAGTTTGGTGCAAGCAACAAAATGTCCTCTTGTGGCAATCTTGCAGGGCAACGTTGGCGCAAGCTTGCTGCAAGTTTGCAAAACCTAATGCGATGCGCAGTTGTAAACGGAAGCTCCTACGGCTGCGCAATAAATTTTTTGACCTCCAAAGCAGGGTGCCCTTTACGTTTATTTAGTAACAAATTGATTCAAAAAAAATTTTTTTTTAGTATTATACAAGCTTTTTGCAAGTTTGCTTAACTACCTTGACACAAGAGGACGTTTCGTTTCTTGCACCAAACTTGCTACATGTTTGCAATGCAATCTTGCACATCTTGCACGACAAACTTCCTGCAAGTTTGCTGCAAGTTTTCGTGCTGATTGGGATATTACAATTTGAGTATGTTCTCCGCTAGATAATTTAATTTTCTTTACAGAATCTTATTCTACTCATAATTATAAATTATCAAAAAAAAATTTATGGCAATTGGCTGAATCCATTTCAAAACGTACAGGCCGACGACCTTCAGGTTGTAGATTTTTCTGTCGATGAAATATGTTATTCTACATGAAAAATAAAGAGACACGTATTTTTTATTTTTCATAAAAATTATGTTTAACGAAGTTATGCTCATTTGAAGTTTGAGTTGTAAAACTCGAAAGAACAATGAAAAAAAATTGTTTCGCCTGTAATTTTTTTTCTAATGAATGCAATCAAATTATTTTTCTTGGATCTTGTAGGGGGTATATTCCTCTTTA